ACATGTTTCGTATTTTAAAATACAGCACCCTTCAAGTTTCAGACAAATAGAATTATCTTCTTTTTTGTTTGTTTCTGTAACTGTCAAACCAATGGATCACTTTGTGCGCTCTCAAACACTTAACTACCTTTACCTGAAAGTGATTTGAGATCCTGATGGAGGACTATATGAATGTATATTCTAACATTAAAAAAGGCCTATGCTTTTACAGGTCAGCATCTGGAGCAGATTCTCATTAGAGTAGGACCTCAATAGCCAGGTAGGTAGTAATTTTAAATTATTAAAAGAGGATGGTTAGAAATGCAAATGCTGAAAGACTCTTCACTGTATGAGCAATGCTTGGCAGTGCTAAGAGTGTCATGGAGCTCCAAAGAGGTGCTTAAATTAAAGGTCTGTCAGAATTTTTAGTATGCACATTTTCAAGTATTAATAACACCACCGCAAAAATTCAACATAATCTGAACTGAGGTTCTCAGTGAAAAGGGAAAATCTAATCGGCAAACTTTAATATGCAAGTGACATTGGAATCTGTACTTGGGAGTTGGAACCACAGAACTAACCTGAATGGGTGACAGGATGAACAGGAATCATGAATACGTCTATGTGTATCAGTCAACGAGTTCACCCAAAGTGGTAAGATCTGTGCTACTCCAGCCTGGCTGGAACTCATTAGAGGCTATAATTAAGGCTGGAGCATGTGGTTGCTTTGCGAGGTAGACAAATGTGTTCTGCTGTTTACTGATCTCTGAAGTCCAAAAATGTACAACTAGTGCCAGACGAAAAGATTGTTTCTCTCCCTCTTTCTTACCATGACAGTTGAAGGCAGATGAAATACTAAACTTAGCAACCTAGTCTATTTTAATACTAATGGAGTGATAGGGTTTTTTGGAGAAGATCCTCAATTCTGAAATGTGCTCTTCTGTGCCAATGACGCTACAGTCTGTTAAGTATAAGAAGGGATTTGCAGATGCATTCTGCATCATTAGCAATTTAAAATTTGAGTGGATTTTTGTTTGGTTTGATTTAAAACATACTCTGGACCAAGAACTTCTTTCAGTCAATGCAGTTCAATAGCCCATATAAGACAGAGCATCAGACTAAATGATCAGAATCATCACAGTTACAGCCTATGAACAAACAGCAACATCTGTTCCTAATCTGTCCTTTTCACAGGAGAGACAGAATGGAGAAAGGAAGAGTAGAAACATCTAGCAATTACAGTGCAGACCCCGCTTTTGAGGCATATACTCTCAGTTCCCTGCTTTACTATGGACATGGTGTCTGCATTCCTCAAACTTAGCGTCTGTATTCCTCATTTCTAAAAATGGAATAATAGCATTCCTCTATCGCAGAGGGATGCTGTGAGACTGAATACATTAAAAAATGAGAGATGCTCAAATAGCGTTGGGGACTAAATAAGGATCTAAGATTGACAGACTGATGCGCTAGGTAAGGTGTGTATGACAGAATGGTGGATGAGAAGAATTCATTTGTGAGCAATCCTTCATGGATATTTCATACAGCACCGACTACCTAGAAGTCCAGTTCTGATCCCTGAGTACATAGGCTGATTAATGATTTGTGTTGCTGTATTTTAAGTCATGCTAAGGACTTTAGCATATGGGAACTAAGGGTGCATAAAGAGTCCCTGGTTTTTGCTATAGCTGAATTAAATCAGGTTAAATTATTGCCTTACCAAAATTAAGACTGAGATAAGATATTGATTAAAATATTTTACTTTTTTAAACCAAGCCTTGTTTCTAGACTGGGGAAGGTACAGTTTATTCAACTGCTGAGCAACTTAAAGTTAAATCTTGCATCTACACTAGATATTGCTTACCTGCATGTCAGCAAATAGGCAAATCCACTACTGCTATAAAAAGGGAAAGCCCCAATGCTCACTGGTTGCAGGTGCTTTTGCCACTCTTGTTTCTGGTGCCTGCTCAAGTAGTTCAATACTTATTGAAAAACAGGTAAGCAATTTCAAGTGTAGATGTGAAAGGGTTACACAGAAACAAGAATGCATCCAGACTGGTGAAAAAAAAAAAGACATTTATATAATTTCTGACTTTTCACACATTTCACACTCATAGAATTTGAAAACACCTTCATTTTTTAAACAGCAAATTTGCAGATCATTAGCTGGTAATGTGCACTACTGCCTTTGGGTCTTTTGAAAACAAAAATGAAAAATGATCTAATTAAGCCTGGTCTACTGGTTGCAGCACATACCAGAGATCCAAGTTTGATTACTGATTCCAGTGCTTGTGCTGGCAAGGTTTGGACTGCAGTACTGTGGTAGTGACATGTAGCAGCAGATGGGAGTAGGATTATTGAACACTGGTTTAAAATGAAATTTTCTAATCAAACTCTGACGTTTGAGTGACACAATACAGAATACTTTCCAGGCATTTGATCCAAGAAGGTGCTATGAAAGATCTTTCTTCAGGAAAGGTGTAATACAAGAAATGGACATGGGAGCTCTGAATTTCTTAATAGAGAGACCATCCTGGGCATTTTAGAAATCACTGGACATTGTTTATGTAGCATGGATTCTATGGTTATATGACACAGTTGTTTTTCACTGTGTATAGCCCAGTCTTCCTAATATTCTGACTTCATAATTCATTTACTTTGGTTATTTGTTTTATTTTGTCCACAGTTATTCATTTGTAGACATTTATATTGAATAAAAACTACCGTACTGCAAAAGGTGAAGGGTTTGATGGACAGGTTAGCAGAAATCTAGACAGCTAAGGTGGCTTTTTGCTTTGCCACTTTCTTTCCTGCTACTCATACCCAAATACATATGACTTGAAGTTTGTGAACTCTTCAGTTCTGCATATGCAACAAGTGCTAGAGGTCAGGTCATCTGATACCGCTCCTCCACTGAGGGACAGTGAAATGCAGGGCCTCAGCAGACAGGGTTTCTACCTACCCAGCAGACATCCCTGCAGCCTTCAGTGTCTACCGATAATAAAAATTTAAATTTGCCCTGTCTCTCTGTGACTCTCAGAAGCAGTGAAAGTCTAATTACTGCCTGCATTCTTCCATTGGCACAGAGAGGAGAACAAAACTGTCACTTGTATGCCAGAGAAAATTAATCCCAGTCCTATAAATTACAGAGATTTATTAATGTTGTAAATGTGTTTCTTCCCCCCCTAGTTTGACTGCTGTGTTCTTACAGCCCTTTCTCTCTCTCTCCTACAATTGTCGATGTGGGAGACGGGTTCTCTCCGACACGGACACTTGTTCTCCAAAGACTGAGATCCTTACTCTCATCTGACTCTACGTACTAAACTTCTTTCTGATAGCCACCACTCTCTGCTGAATTTTAGCAAACTAAGTAGTGTCTTTTAAGTGTGTCTAAGCAGAGACGGACTTAACAAATGTTAAGCCATTAGCATCTGTCTTGGCAATTATACAGCAATTTAGGAGATCCATTAAGGTCCACTGGATGAATAACCCAGGTTTCAAACTGTTTCTTAAAACATATTGTTAAAATGAGACAGAGTTAACTTTTACAATGGCTAATTCAATATCACAGGTCTTAGAGAATACACAAGAACGTCCCTTGCAATATTTTGTCATGAACTAATGTAAAAATGACTTGGCCTCATAAAGCTAAGTGGATCTGAATTATACTTAGCTCAGAATAATATGAGAGCTTTCAAAGGAGATTTTCAATTACGTTCTTCTTTCAAATCTTGGGCCAACCGGTAGGCTTTCATTCATATGCTTAATATACACGTTCAGTAGAGGATCGTAAATCAGACGTATAAATTTGTCGGTTTATTTGTAAAGTCTCTGTTCAGTTACTGGGTAAGAAGTTAAATGCTCATATCAGCCTTCCTTCATCTTTTGTGATAAGACTGCATGTTTCTGTTTGAGTAAAACAGTTAATGTTCTGTGGGATGAAAAATTTCTTAATTAAGAGTCTTGCAGTTTACAAATTGAGCTTCATCTTAGTATCTGGCAAAAAAAGCCCCAGATATTAACGGAGAAGCAAGTAGCAACTCTACTAGTCTTATATGGTAATTTGTTTTACTCATTGACCATAAAATATAAAAAGTATGTGTTTAAGATTCAGAATTTTGCACCAACTTGAAAGGATGAGACTGCTCAAGAGAAAGAGCCCCTTGTTACCATTTTCATAGCCCTGAAAAAATATAAAATCTGCATAGCTTATATGATTAACAGGTATAATTCATAAACAGAATAATATGCTTGATATTTCAAACTTTCAATTTTACTTGGTAATAGGGTTTTCTAAGGGTCAGCACAAGCAGATAGGCATCTTTATATGCTTGTAGAAAACAGAAGGGATCAGATTCCTTTAGATGACATCAATTTAGCTCCACTGAATTTGCTGGTGCTGCGCAGAGCCTCACCAATTGCAAATATTGCGTACCGTTCTAGGGCTACCTCTCTTCTACAGGGTCTTGCATTTATTTATATTTGTTCATGGCAATGTAAATGCAGAAGGTTTTGTATTTGGGGAAATTTAGTTGCTTAAGAGACACTTTCTAAGAATTTTCTGTATTTTTCCTTTTATAAACACAACATTTTATATGTTTATCAAACTGAGATCAGTCAGTGAAAAAAAGAAACATCTTTGTACTTGGTGAAATACATAGGGTTAGAAAACATGCAAAAAGGTGTACAGAGAAACTTTAAAAGAGTGTTAGTTTAAATAGTATGGACAAAATTCAGTCAAAAGTGGGATGCAACATATCAGAAGTCCATTTCAAGAAAACAAAAACCCCTTCTCTTTAAATATTGTTACTGGTTTGTATCAAAATTTAGAACTTAACAACATTCTTTCTTTTAAAAAATTAAAAATATATATATGTATAACAACAAGCAAGAAGACAAAACACATCAAAAATGGGAATTAAAAAAAAAATCTTCAAAAGAAGACAAGAAGTCAAAAAAAGAGGGGAGAAAAAAGATTTTCAGGGTTCCTTGTCATGCAAATCAGTTTGGCGGCAAAAAAATACCTTCATCTTCAGCACCGTCATTATCACCTAAATCATCTGTCTGTTTCTTTGTAAGGGGACCTAGGATTGAGAACGGAGAAAATGGAGGAAAAAAGACAATTCAAGAATATACAAGACTGAGGAAAAAAAACAGTGAATATTAAATTCCCATGGATGTTTCAAGAAAAACATTTGCAGAGAGGGAAATCTTAGTTTATAACAACCAATTTTTCATTATGTTTTTCAAACATTACAGCAAAACCTTCCCTAGGGGGTATGGCTATTAGAAACATCAAGCACAAGAATCAGAGAGTGCCCAGTGCTTTATTGTTTTTAAATGAAGAATCAAAACTTGTTTACTAAAAGCATACCCACCATAAACTATATTTATCCACTTAATTTAATTCTTTGTTGTTGTTGTTGTTATTAGGAATAGTGGAGACAAGCACTGCCAAATTACCTCTTGCATTTGATGCAATAAGGTGGCTAATAAATGTCTTGACAGTTGCTTAAAACAATTATTTTCTGTGAAATGCTAATTCACATTTCTAAGTTCAACCATTTAAGCTCATGCTTTACAAAGATAAGCATGGGTTTGGGTTTTTTTTCTTTTTTTTTTTTTTTGACACAGTCATTACATTCTCTTTTAAATAGAACTGTAGATTCCCTTGAAACCTTTGACTACCTGCTGAGATATTTGTAAAGAAGCATGAAAATCCATATGTAAACTAGAAACAAGAGTGAAATCCTAGACCAACTGAAGACAACGATTTTTGCCATTGATTTCAGTGGGGCCAGGGTTTCATCCACAGTATACAAAAGTTACATTGAATGCGGGAATTGAAGTTTTAGCTTGGGCAAGACATACAATATCATAATTTCTTATTTCTATAAATGGATGGCAAGACAAAATTGTTTCATGCCCAGCACCTGTATTATTAACAAGTATTAATAGATTCATCATATTTTCCAATGGGAAAAATGCCCGCTCGTTTACTGAGTAATAAAAATATATACCAGAAGGAAAGTCAAAGGCTGTTCTGAAAATATTTCCACATCATATATTTTACACACTTACGCACAAACAAAAGACAGTTGGAACTCAGCATTATCTTTCCTTTTTTTTCAGAGCTCTCTCATTTCCATGACATTCTGTAATTTGCATGCAAAAAAGCAATCAGAACACAGGACTAAGTAACAAAAAAAGGAAAAGCCAGCCAAGCACAGAGAAGAAAACAAGAACTTTTTCATGCATAAAATAGCAATAGACAAAAACAACAACAAAAAAGAGATGAACAGTATGTGTTGATATTTGCAGTAGATGTAGGCAAGAGACATGCATTAACTGTAAGCACTATGGAGTATTAAAACATTTGTATTTAAAAAGGTCTCTCTAGCTCTGTTATTTTACAGGATATTAGTCATTCAGCATTAAACCTGTCATTTATAGGCAAAATACCATGTATTTGAGTGATGCATTTAAAAAAAACAATCCATAAAATGTTTGTACCAGGTGCATGGATTTGAGAAACAGAAACAACCCATGAAGTACCATGAGATTTTAACTGTGAATGTAGGAACTGGACTGTATTATTGAAAACCAAAGCTGAATACCTTAATTACTGCATCAGTCAGGAGTATAGTTTTAAACTCATTCTAAATACAGAACACTAGAATTGTACATCATAAATTAAAGACAAGTATTTTTATAGTCACACCTGCAGCAATCATTCTCTTTAGTACAGAGCCTTGGTGAATGCAACAGCTTTTCCTAGTACAAGCCCTGAATGTAATCTTTACAATATATGGTATCTAGATAATGTGACCCTATCCAAATACACACATTCAACTGTCTTGCTGCCCATCACTCTCATAGCATAGCAACTTTACTTCTGAAAGAATAAAACTAGAAAAGTAAAAGATGTATGCAAAGAATAACAATAATTTCATGGTGGGTTTTCAGCACGGTGAACAGGAAGAATGGACTTAAAATTCTAAGAACTACGCGCTTAACAGAGCTATGCGCTTAACAGAGCTATGCACTTAATAATGGAGAGCCAGACACAGCCAAAGATATATATACATACACATTTTTAATGGCTTCTTGTTATCTTTTAAATTTTTAAAAGTCACCAGAATGGAACAAAGTAGCATCTGGAAAGGCAAACAGCACACATTTCTCCAAATAACTTGCACAGAGAGGGCAATTCCTTTTCTGGATGAAACCAAGACAATGACTGTTACATTTTTTAAATAGCTGGCCTTTGTGAGGTGTCTTGCATAGATCACGGTTCCAGATCTCAACAGCAGTTACATAGTGCATCAAACATCTCAACGGAAATGACTGACGTCATACCATCTCTGATTTTACAATACAGTGAAGCATAATTGAGGCTAGCTATTAAAAATAACCTGGGTAATTTTAGTATTTATACAGTTGTGAGTTTCTCTGAAAACCATAAAAAAATCTGACCATCTTCCTTGTAATAATGTTGCAATACGTATTATACACAATTCCTTCTGCAAAGGGGCTGACCTATTTTTAAGCTGTCATGGATTAATCGTGCTTTCTAATCCAGCTGTATATCTGTTTCACAATACAGGGGCTCTGCTTGCCACATCCCCTAAACAGGAGGACTCATCCCTGATGGAGACATGTGGCAGACCCACCAGGCACCACTAACAGTATTCTGTTAAGAAAGAGATGAGACATGATTTATGCCACAAGTTCGCTCCAGTCTGCAAATGTAATGGACCACATTCATTACATCTCACCAACAGCTAGCTTACAGAAACACAGACCAAAATGCTTCAGACAAATTTTCTGCTTCCTGGAGTTACAATGCTATCTGAGGTCTAGAAACCAAAGCAGTGTTTGGTCCTCATGCACCAGGCGTGAAACTACTTACCTATTATCTGTACTTCACTTATACATACAGGGATGCCATGAAACTTCATTTGTATTTGTAAATTGCTCTGCAATCCCTAAAAGAAGCATCAGCTCAAGACCCATTATGCACACGGCTGTCTAAAATGGGATACAGCAACATCAAGTGGTTCAATCTTGAATCCTCAAAGAGGAAACGGAGCTCTGAGCTTGACTGTTTATGTTCTGTGTTGCCCGTTTCATGTCTGGCTGCTGAAAAAATTTTCTGAAATCATGAAAGTAGTATTAAGAGAAGTTCTGGATTAGACTTCCACCTGTTTCAGCAGTAATTCTCATTCTAAAATCAGTAAGAAATGGCTTTTGCTTCTGATTTTCTGGATAACAGACTACACTGACTAACAGCATCACTGTGTCTGTATGATCATAAAGACAGACTGATATCTTCAGTCCTTACACAGGAAAAAATGCTGAAATCACTATCAGATAAACAAAATAAAACCTTATGGAAAGATCCTACAAAATGTAACAGCAATAGCCTTTTTAAGTAAAATAATTCAGGACTGAAATTGCTTAGTAGGTGTATAATTTTCAGTTATTTTCTGCAGATTTGAATTAATATTCTACGGGAAGTTTATGATTTTGTAAATTAAATGTATCCCTCAACTAGATTTATTTCTTTAGCCCTGACTGTTTATTCAATATGTGATTCTTCAGGTTTCTTCCACCATTTTAATATTATTTTCAGGTAACAGAAACTAATTTTAAAAATACTGGTACTGACTTGGTGGACTAGGAGCCAATGAAACAAGAAAGAGTATACATTTTACAGAATTATGATCGCCAGAAGTCTTTTGTCCCCAATTACTTTTCCCTGTTGTTCCATTGTAGCTTCTCTTCACCTTTCGTGCAGGCCCAGTTATTCCTCCTCTTTGAGCATTTCACTTACAAAAATGGGTATCCATTACAAAAAGATCATTTTACTATGTTTAAGACATAAGCCTTCAATAGATACACTGCCTTCTTGTGCTGGCCTAAATTTTAGCTAAAGTTTACATAATAAATAATAAATATCAACAAAGTAATCAGATACCATAAATAATGGGGGAAAAAAGGATACTAAAGCCTCTAAAATGCCGATGCAAAGATGATTTACTTATCAAGAGGCACTCTAAGGTTTAGTCTCATTTAGTTGCATGTTGCTGCATACCCGTAACTCTCATTAATGCTAATGGGAAAGTAGACCCCTAAGTCAGTTTAAAAAGGGGAAGAAGCGATTACTGCATTTTATGTCTCCTAAAGGTAATGAATAGTCTTGCTACAAAAGCTAAAGGAATGCTATGTGCAGGAGGAACTCCTAACAAACTCTCTACTCATCTCAACTAGATTTATTTCTTTAGCCCTGACTGTTTATTCAATATATGATTCTTCAGGTTTCTTCCACCATTTTAATATTATTTTCAGGTAACAGAAACTAATTTTAAAAATACTGGTACTGACATGATGGACTAGGAGCCAATGAAACAAGAAAGAGTATACATTTTACAGAATTATGATCGCCAGAAGTCTTTTGTCCCCAATTACTTTTCCCTGTTGTTCCATTGTAGCTTCTCTTCACCTTTCGTGCAGGCCCAGTTATTCCTCCTCTTTGAGCATTTCACTTACAAAAATGGGTATCCATTACAAAAAGATCATTTTACTATGTTTAAGACATAAGCCTTCAATAGATACACTGCCTTCTTGTGCTGGCCTAAATTTTAGCTAAAGTTTACATAATAAATATTAAATATCAACAAAGTAATCAGATACCATAAATAATGGGGGAAAAAAGGATACTAAAGCCTCTAAAATGCCGTTGCAAAGATGATTTACTTATCAAGAGGCACTCTAAGGTTTAGTCTCATTTAGTTGCATGTGCTGCATACCCGTAACTCTCATTAATGCTAATGGGAAAGTAGACCCCTAAGTCAGTTTAAAAGGAAGAAGCGGCGATTACTGCATTTTATGTCTCCTAAAGGTAATGAATAGTCTTGCTACAAAAGCTAAAGGAATGCTATGTGCAGGAGGAACTCCTAACAAACTCTCTACTCATTTAATTTAAAAATAGTTCTTATATTATTTAACGTATTATTCAAATATTTATTCTATTTGTATTGCAATCAATGGTAAGGAAATAACATGATGCATTTTAAAATAT